TGTGGAGGGAATCTAGCATGTTTTCTGAGCAGTGTCCTGTGTTAAACTCATTGTGCTATACACAATTTAACAAAACATGGACATCGTACATCCCCAGCAAACTAGTTGCAGATTTTTTTTTCATCTACTTGCCTTTTCATTGCAAGCCTGAGGCAAACGGCGGTGTGTGGCTCAACAGCAATCAGGGGTCATAATTTCATTGGCAGTTTGCATCAGGTTCAATTTTTCTAGCATTCAGTATCCAAAAACAGTAAGTCTGTGTTTCATTGCTCTGAGAATCAACTGAAATAACTCAGCTGAGTATGATATTCAAATTCAAATCATAATGTGAAATGGAGTTTTATTTACAACTGTTCTACTCGTTTTAAAATTTATGAAAAGGGATTTTAAGATGTCATCATGTGAACAGACCTAAATCAACAGTTCAAACCTACTTACAAATTTAATTTTGAGCTCACTAAGTCACCGATAAAGAGTAACTTTCCACTGTTTTCTTTCAGTTCAGGCTTATTTCTTACTTAATCATTTAAAGATGATTTTTTTAAAATTTGAAATGTTTACTATTTTTAAATCTGGAATCAAGTTCCTTACAAACATGTCAAATATAAGTACACGATCAAAATAAAAACTGGTAAACAAGAACATTAATGGAATTTCAGAGGCTATGCAAGAAAACCGTGAAATAAGGGCAGAATTGTGCATCGTTTTTAGGGTAAGACTGCATTGCGACCAGTTCTATTGAAGGGTTTATTGTGGTGAAGCCTAATGAATTCTCTTGCTCAGTCTTACTAAACTTGCTGCATTAATTGCCGACCCTGTTCCTATGGTACCACTCATGTCCAACTTCCACCCTGCCATCCCACCCGCCCTGCCCAGAACAACTCACCACTCAGCAAATATCGACCTAAAGGCTAGCAAGCCCTTGCGTTCGCGCCATCTTCACAATACCACAGTTCACCCAGCCGAGCATGAGCATTCTAAAGCTGCTGTGCACATGGAAGGACGTGGAAAGAGCTGATAATCGACTCCAGGAAGCAAGGAGGAGGACACGGCCCTATCTACATCAACAGAGCTGAGGTGGAAATGGTCAAGAGTGTAAAGTTGTAAGGAGTGATGATCACCAACAGTCTGTCCTGGACCACCCACGTTGATGCGACAGTCAAGAAGGCACGACAATGCCCCATTTCTTCAGGGGGCTCAGGAAATTCAGCATGTCCAAAAGGACCCTCACCAACTTTTACAGATACACCATAGAAACCATTCTATCCAGATGCATCACAGCTTGGTACAGTAACTGCCCTACCCAGGACTGTAAGAAACTACAGAAAGTTGTTAACACAGCCCAGACCATCATGGAAGCCAGCCTTCTATCCATAGACTACATCTACACTCCCAATGCCTTGGAAAGGCATACAACAACATCAAAGACCCCTCCCATTCTGGTAACACTCCCCTACAACCTCTTCTGTCAAGCAGAAGATACAAAAGCTTAAATGCACGCATCAACAGTTTCAAGAACAACTTCGTCTCCACTGTTATTAGACTTCTAAATGGACCTTTCAAATTTCAAATTTAATGTTGATCTTGCTTTTTTGTGCACCTTCTTTGCAGCTGTAACTCTGTATTCTTCACCCTGTTCAATCACCTTATGGTCTCTGTGCGTTTGTGTGGTATGATCTGCCTGTACTGCATGCAAAACAAAACATTTCACTGTACTCAGATACATGTAACTATAATAAATCAAATCAAATCAAAAATATGTTCACAAGATGTCTGAGAAGGAGAAGATTCACAAGCAGGGATTTGGAGGACCTGGTGGAAGAGCTGGTGTGAGGAAGGATCACCTCCTTCCCTGAGGAGTGACAGTGGAGGCCGTGTAACCAAACCTTACCAGCCTGGCCACCGCCAAAGTCCCCAGGGTGCAGAGAAACAGCCAGCAATGAAGAAAGAAGGTCAGTTTCCTGTTCCACTCTGCCACAGTAAATGCCACCTCTCACTCACGCTGTCTCCATCACCGCACACATGCTGTACTACTCTCACTGTTATGCCAGCTCCCCTCCCCCACCCACAGCCTTCCCTCATCAATCTTGGATCCCCTCTGTGCTGCCTCTTCAGTCCATTGGAGCATCTCACCATCTCTCCCCTACTGCACTGACAGCCACCAGTCTCCATAACCGGCCTCATTTCCTGCTCCCCTCCCTCCCCGATTCTCATTCCAGGAGAGGACAGCCCATAACAGGGCACACGGAGGCTGGAGAGGTACCCGAAATTAGGCACCTTCCTCTCTACATGGAGGGAGTTGTGGGCCTCGCAGGAAAAGACTGAGGTCACTCCTGTGAGGCTGCTGACTCATCCACATCTTACAAATGAATACGTAGCACTCTGTATGTTACCGCCACTTCCTCCCCTTTACCCCCACTGTCACTCACAGTCATTGGACACCACTTATCACCAGTGACTTTGATGCCTTCTCTCTTTTTAGCCTTCCACAAACCTACCCTCAAACTCAGGCTTGAGGCTCCATCGGGAACCCTCTCCTTGACCTCTGAAGATGAGAGTACAGATGCCTTGAAGGAGGCATTGACAAGGCAGCTTCCTGCACCCCCACAACATATCAGTAGCCTCAGACCTTGTTGGGAGCTGTCATGACAGAAAATGAAGATACACAATATGGTGAGCACCTCACTATGACTGCTCTTACTGAGGAAGAAATGCCCCAGGCTGCTGGCACTCAGAGGACAGCTGGAGACCTGGATCTCCACTCAGTGTGTGACTGCGGCCACCCTTACACCTTTTTTCTTCCCTCCTTCTCATCATGACTCAAAACCTTAGCTTGCTGTCTCCACAGATGCTGCCAGGCCCACTGTGATTTCTGGCTTTTCTTGTTTTCAGTTTCTTTCAATTCACTTGTGGGATATTGCCTGTCCCTAGTTGCCCCTTGAGAAGGTGGTGGTGAGCTGCCTTCTTGAACTGCTGAAGTCCACCTGCTGTAGGCTGACCCACAATGCCCTTGGGGAGTGCGTTCCAGGATTTAGACCCAGCAATACTGAAAGGACAGCGATATATATCCAAGTCAGGATGATGAGTGGCATTGAGGGGAACTTTGAAGTGGTGGTATTCCCATGCATCTGCCACCGTTGTTCTTCTAGATGGAAGTTGGGGGTCATGGGTTTGGAAAATGGTGGTGAAGGATCTTTGGTGAATTTCTGCAGTGCATCTTGTGGATAGAATACATTTGGCCCTAACCACAGACTCTGTTTCCTGGTCATTGACTCCATCCATCTCCTTGGCAACTGTCTAAAGCTGACCCAGACTGTCTGTAACTTTGATATTATATTTGACTCTGAGTTGAGCTGTCTTCCACATATTCCGTGTTATTACTAAGACTGCCTGTTTCCACTTCTGTAAAGTTGCCTCAGTTGGCTCCTGCCTTGAAAACTTCCTCCAGGCTTTCGTTATCTGCAGGTTTATTTCAGTACAAACCTGACTCACATCCCAAGTTTTACCTTCCATCAACTTGAGGTGATCGGAAACTAAACTGCCTGCATTCTAACTCACATCAAGTCCAATCCACCCTGTGCTCAGGGTAATTAGCACCGAGTTAAGCAATGTCCTGTCTCGGCTTCATTTCATTATAATCTTCTGAAGTCTACATGTCCTCAAAATTTCTGAGTTCCTCCAAATCTGGCTTTTTGAGGATGCCCAATTTTAATCATCAATAGCAAGGCTGTAAGAATTGGATTGTTCTCCCTATACCTCTCTGTCTCTACCCTTCTTTATGCTCCATTAAAATTATCCTTAAAAACGGAGGTGGTAGTGTAATGGTAATGTCACTGAACTGGGAGTCCAGAATTCCAGGCTAGCATTTTCAAGTCTCACCATGACAGATGGTGAAATTTGAATTCGGTATAGAGTTGGCCTAAAAGGCAACATGTAGCCATTGTTGATGTTGAAAAACCCATCTGGTGCACTAATGTCCTTTAGGGAAGGAAATCTGCCATCCTTACCTGGTCTGGCCTACATGTGACTCCAGACTCACTGCAATGTGGTTGACTCTGAACTACCCAGGGTAAAAATGCTGACTGAGCCAGCGACACTAACGTCTTGTGAATGAATAAAAGCCTTCGCTGATGGGCCACGCAGCTGCTCCATGGGATTGTGGATACTGGTGATGTAAAAAAACAGTTACAGCGGGTTTCAGAGGTCAGCGCGGCACCCGGAGAAATCAGAGGAAACTTGGCTTCTAATTTCCTGTTGTGGTGGTTAGCTCAGTTGGCTGGACAGCTGGTTTGTGATGTACAGTAATACCATGAGCCTGAGTTCTATTCCTCCACCAGCTGAGGTTACTATGAAGGACTCTCCTTCTCAACCTCTCCCCTCACCAGAGGCATGGTAACCCTCAGGTTAAAGCACCACCAGTTCTGTTTCTCTGTCTCTCTCCCTTTAATCCATCCCGTGGTTGGGTAAGACTATGGCATTTCTTTTTCTTTTCTATGGTGCTCAGTGTCAAATTTTGTTTGATAACACTCCTGTCTGGGGACATTTTACTATGTTGAAGGTGCCATACAACTACAAAAGCACCCAAAACCAGGTGCTACTATTAGAAAGATACTGCTGAATAGCAAAAACTGTTTTCATTACCTTTGATGTCATTGTCCAAACCAAATGGCTCTTCAGTGTATTTTTTTCTCGGCAAGTCAGTGGAAATGGTAATTTTACAAGGCTGTCATCTATTCATTAATCCAGTACAGATTATTTAATGCTGTCTTTTAAAAATGATTCAATTATAGCCACGGTTTATTCATATGCTATATAAAGGTAAATAGGTAAATTTGCATTTTATAGCAATGTTTTACTAAAAGAAAGTCAAAATAGTTGAACAGAAGTTTGGTGGGTATATAAATTCCCTGTTTGTCCCATTATTTTCAGAACTGTTTCAGATAGAATTTAGTTTTAGCCAATGTTTAAATTATCTTACCAACATCTTTAATTCTTTACAGGAATGTGATCAAGTTCATATCGACGATGTATCATCAGATGATAATGGGCAGGATTTGAGGTATGTTCATCACAAAATAGTAGGATTTACAGTTCTAGGAGGAAGTTCTGAGGAAAGGTCACTCGACCTGAAACATTAACTCTGATTTCTCTCCACAGATGCTGCCAGACCTGCTGAGCTTTTCCAGCAATTTCTGTTTTTGTTTCTGTTTTCCAGCATCCACAATTCTTTCAGTTTTTATTGAGTAGAACTTACAGACTGAGTATTTGCATTTTGAGTTGAAGTATTTCGTTGGGGAAGAGTCATGGCACCCAGTCCACCGAAACGTGGAGCAGATTTGTTCACTCAATCTTTTCTAAACCTCAAACAAAAACAGAAGTTGTTGGAAAAGCTCAGCAGGTCTGGCAGCATCTATGAAGAAAAAGTCAGAGTCAACGTTTCGGGTCCAGTGACCCTTCCTCAGAACTGAGTTTCTGGATAGTCTGGTGATTTTTACCATTAGGCCAGACCCAAAACGTTAACTCTGATTTTTTTCCTTCACACATGCTGCCAGACCTGCTGACCTTTTCCAGCAACTTCTGTTTTTGTTCCTGATTTACAGCTTCCACAGTTCTTTTGGTTTTTCTTCTCTAAACCTCTGGGCTCCATGGCAGCTATCTCATGGCATCCCATGGCAGGAGAGTTAGAAGGGCTTGTCACTGCCAGAACCTTCGGGTATTCTCGTAGAGGCTAAGGAGAGGCAATGGCCTAATGGTATTATCACCAGACTATTAATCCAGAAACTCAGCTAATGCCCTGGGGTCCTGGGTTTAAATCCTTCCACGGCAGATTGTGCAATTTGCATTCGATTAAAAATGATGACCATGAACCATTGTCAATTGTCAGCAAAAGGCTATCTGGTTCACTAATGCCCTTCAGGGGAGGAAATCTGCCGTCCTTAGCTTCATGTGACTCCAGACCCACAGCAATGTGGTGGACTCTTAACTACCCTCTGGGTAATTAGGGATGGGCAATAAATGTTGCCGAGCCAGCCCTCATCATAGATCATAGAACCCCTACAGTGTGGAAACAGGCCCTTCGGCCCAACCAGTCCACACCGAAATGATGCCATATTGAAAGCCCAGCCACAAAGTACTTCAGATGCTGCAGGACAGGCACTGTGTGGCTTGGCATGTGTAACCGAGGGCATGGCCCATGCTGGCATCCCATTTCACCAACAGGGGCCCAGAGATGCTCCTGGTGGGGTCATGGAAAGAAGGTGATGCAGAGTAGATGTAGGATAAGCTTCAGCTGGTTAAGTAGTCAAGAGACACGGTTTAAAAATAAGAAGGATGCTGTTTAGTCACCAGATGAGAAGAAATTATGGTGAAATTTTGCAGTTCTCTACTGCAGAAGGCTGTGGAGGTGCAGTTTTGAGAATGTTTAAGGTAAAGATGAATAGATTTCTGATAACCCTGGACACCGTTGGTAATGGGGATGAGGTGGGTAAAAGGCATTGTAATTCTCACCCAGCCATGGTCGTATTAGATCACCATTAGCAGGCACAATGGCTGAATGGCTTACTCATGTTCCTGCGCTGCTGTATCCTCCTGGTCTCTGCAGAGTCCAGATCACCAGTATCAGCTGACCTGGACCAAAATGGGAACCCTAGTCAGTGCTGGATCACACAGCAGTACAGTGAATAATCTTCCCTGCTGTCCATTGGTACAATAGCATAACTAGTTGTTTGTCACGAGTTCCTTTTTCTGTTCATTCAGAGAATGGACAGAATAGTAGACTGAAGCTGTTTCCACTTTAAAGAAACAGGAGCAAGAGGGATAGTAAGAACTGCCGATGCTGGAGTCAGAGATAACACAGTGTGGGGCTGGAGGAACACAACAGACCAGGCAGCATCAGAGGAGCAGGAAAGCTGACATTTCAGGTCAGGACCCTTCTTCAAGAGGTCATAGATTTAAAGCGATGCACAAATGAAACTAAGGTGAACTGAGCTCTGATGAAGAGTCATCTAGACTTGAAACATTAGCTTGGTCTCTCTCCACGGATGCTGTCTGATCCGTTGTAATCTCCAGCATTTTTTTTGTTTTCAGTGAAGTGGGAAAAAGCTTCTCCATCTAGTGAGTAGTTGGAGTATGGAAAGCATTGCCTGGAAATATGGTGGAGGGAGGTTTAATTGAGGCATTCAAGAAGACATTACATGGCTTTTTGGCTAGTAATGGTATACAAGGATATGGGGAAAAGGCAAGAGAGCGGAACTAAATAATAGGTGCAGGCATGATGGGCTGAACAGCCGCCATCTGCACTGTAACAATTCTGACATTCTGTGAAGTGCTACCATCTCTGCGTCCTCACACTTTGAGGGCCACCACCTGTTCTAACACTGCCACTGCACAGGCAGATTGCCAAGGCTCATGGACTACAACACTCACGATTACATGGAACATCTCCATGGTACCTGGATTTCGGGGGTTAAATTATGAGGAGAGACTATACACATCAGGCCTGTTTTCTCTGGAATTGAGAAGGGTAAGGGGTGATCTGATCAAAATCATAGAGTCAGACAGCACAGAAACAGGCCCTTCAGCCCACCATGTCTGTGCCACCCAACAAACACCAAACTTCTCTCATCCCATTTCCCTGCTCTTGGGCCAGAGCCAGCCATGCCCTGGCATTTTAAGTGCTCATCCAGATGCTTCTTAAATGTTGCGAAAGGATCTGTCTCTAACACCTTCTCAGGCAGCATGCTCCATATACCTATCACCCTCTGAGTGAAAGAGACAACAAGGTGCAGGGCTGGATGAACAC